CTTGATAGAAAGTAGAAAAAATTCCTTCAAATACATCTTCATGACAGATCAATGCTGCCTTGCTAATGTTTATCACTTTTCCTAGGTAACTTAAATGCATTCTGATGCGGAAAACAACCCCTTTGGACTTACCAAGGCTCCTTTCTTGTTGGTGGAAGAACCTGGGAGTGGATGGGAGGGAAGATCCTGTCCTGCCACCATTTGACACTGTCAGCTCTTTGCTGTCCATGGATGCTAAGTGTGATATGCATGTGGGTGGCCAAAGAGGCCAAGATGGGATACTTTATTCTCTCCTGAACATTCTGAACAGGTCATGATGACCCTTGGACTAGATGTTACCTGAAGTGTCCATCCTTTTGTGAAAGCAGTCCGTTTCCTCCAGCTGTGAATGAAGTAGATCTGGCCACTGTCATTAACTGTTCATTGTTGACTTTCTAAGTATTTGTCCAGCACTGTCCTAACTGCTGTGGGTATCATTTAGATGTGGGGGTGGTGTGGGTGTGGGAGGTGGTGGTAAGGCTACCAAGGAACTCAACTTGTAGTAACAGACATGAAGATGGCCATATGGAAACAATAATGAAAATACAAATGCATTTTGTATGTAAATAATTTTAACTTGTGTGGTGTAGGGTAAAAGTGAAACAGCCAGGCAGATAGGGCTAGTGAGGGAAGGAGAGATTCGGCTGGGCCTTGCAGGATGGCTGCAATCTCTCTAGGAGAAGCAGGGTGCGAGGGAAAAACTGGAGCAGCCATCGGAAGGTAGGGAGGCCAGAATGAGCATGCGCATAGGAGGCTAGGACAGAAGTAGGGTACACGAGGAGCTGGGGGAGGTTAGACAGGCGAGATGGGGCCAGATTTCACCTAACACCGGAAGCCAGAGAGAGGACAGACTAGAGTCTTTAAGCCCATGTTTCTCAAATCTGAAGCTACTCATAAATATGGATCATCTTCCTGGAAATTCAGTGTCACATAAATATTTGGGGGTAAATTATTCTTTAACTGGTGTGCTAAAACAAACATGGATATATTTTGGAGTAGAATATAAAACTGGCATGGCTTTATTAATAAAATATGCGTATTTAAAGAAATTTGGGCTTGTTGGAGGTCACTTGGATGACACCTTCACATCCCCAGGTCCTCTCCTCCAGGTGGCGGATATTGATGGGATAGTTTGAGAATTTCCTTAGGCAATAGGAAGTGAAACCTCATTGCCTGAAGCTGTGCCCTGTGCTTGAAGCATCGTTTATGCCACTCTGAGCATCTTCTGGTCCCACTCCAGGAGCTGATCTGACATCTTGGACCAGTGGAGCAAAGTGATTACGTGTCACATTCACAGTGGCCCATGCCAAAGCACTGTTGCTTCCTGTCAAGGGGTAAGACATTTGTGTAGTCCTTTGTAGGTTGATTTGCTGTCATTCTTTCAACAGCCCTAGAAATAGTTATTATTACCTTGATTTACAAATGAGGAAATCATGTGTGGCAGGTATTGTGTACATGTTCGATGGGCTCTTGCAGGAAGACTTCTAAGTTAGGACATGGCTCCTGGCAGGCAGGGGGTCCAACAGTCATATTCGACTGTGCAGACCTGCATTCTGGACAGGTGCTTCATGCCACATGTGATCTGCCAGCGTCAGGGAGGGCATGCCGACCTTCTTAATTCAGTTCTCCCTCTCCTGTCAATTGGTGCCTTGCTGGACAATAGTTAACAGCGGCTCTCGGCTCCACATTTCTTATGAAGAATTTAACTGAGGCAAAACAGAATTCAGGTGGGCAATTTAGTCTTGCAAATCTCTGTCTGTCTGTCTGTCTCTGTCTTTCTCTTTCTCTCTCTCGCAGGTTATTTACAACTCTGGCTCATTAATAAATATAATCATGATTTGAACCAACAGCATCACCCGCTTTTATTTAGCAGAGTATTTTAAATTGTAAGATATTCCTTACTGTCTTCAAATCTCATGAAGCCCTGTCTATTTTAATACTAACTTTCTGAAGACTCATTAGTAATTAATGAAATCATTAAGAATGGCTCATGGTGACTGACACCTTCCTGGCAACCACAATCCCCTCTTGTACTTAGTGGAAATGTCACTGGCTCCACAGGTTTGCTTTGGGGGGTGGAGTGGGTGGGTGGAGTGGAAGGGGATTGGATACATAAAGTTTCACAACAGCCATCAGCCAGAACAGAAAGCCGTGAGTGTGATCCTCCAAGTTTCTCTACTTAGGAAGCTGTGCTGGGAGAAGTTGTCTGAAAAACCTTTCATTCACCCAATGCTGGTTTTAAGAAATCCTGCTAATACCGTGTTTTCACTAAAATGGCATTGTGTGGCTCAAAGGAATTAGCAAAGATGTAGTGTTGAAAGTCACTCATTTTTTTTCTCTTGTTTTCACACATTTCATTCTTTCTTGGCATTGCCGATATTTATTCTCCTCTTCTCCTTTTTAGGAACAGAATTTGGCATAAATAAATGATAACTGAGAAAATGGTATAAACAGAAGAGTAAACAGGGTTTCTCCGGTCTCCTACTGTAGGGCAGGCTAATTTATTGTAGCACGTGGTCACCCACAAGAAAGACGGTAGTTCCAGCCGCTCCTATTTAATTTGTGTTTTAATAAAGAAACCCACATTCTTTCCTTAATTACTGAAAGTGGAACATGAACCCCCAAAAGCCTTTCAGACTGCTAATGCACTGACACTGTTAAATCAAAATGGACTGCTTTGCCAGGGTACTGCCCGCAAAATGGAATTCGGTCCATTTCATACCCCAATGAATTTAAATTGTACGGCGCTGATATTTAATACCAATGCAAGTACCAGTGGAATCTGCATACTTAATATGCATTCTCCCACTCTCAGAATTAAGCAGTTGATCTATGGGACACAAAGGGATCATCCTTCTCTCAAAGAGAATATTTTATCACCAGGCAGTTTAAAAGGCACTGACATAAACAACTGTTTGCAGCGCGCTCTCCCTCTCATCTTCAAAAGGCAAAAAGTACACGGAAGGACATGCTGTTTTAGACAAAGCATTTTAGAAAATCACTTGAAATATTTTCCTTTTCCTTTGAGGATGACTGAACCTTTGATAGGTGCTCAAGAGAGTTCTTATAATTTAGTTTATTTCTCTTACTTTTTTAGAGGGAGGCAAACAGACAGTGGGAAGGCACAAAGCTGAAGCCTCCTTTCTCTTGGAAGTGGAAACCTTACTGCTGAAATCATAAAAGTGTTATTTATGGTTTTTACACCATGACTGAACATGCCAGATTTTTCTGGGACAGTGTCAATTTTAAATGAATAGCTAAGTTTAATTTCATCACCAAACCTTTGTAAGAATTTCATCTAGACAAATGAATGAAATAGAAAACAAATATTTTGCTACATCCCTTGTCCCAGTTTTTGCTTCTTAAAATACGGTCACTCTCCTTTTAGCCATGCTGATATTTGGGAAACTGTTATGGAAATGACTTAATTTTTCGAGGTATTTGCCTTACGAATAAAATGCGCATCGCACATCTTCTCATTTCCTTCAAGTGCTAGAGGGAGGATGGATGCATTGGGCGAAGAGCTGCCTCATTTCCAGAGAGAAAACAGAGGCATTGAGAGTTTGGTGGGACTTCCCAGCCTCAGCAGTAACAGTGTTTGGTCCTGAATTTTTACATCCTGACTCCAGTGTGGGCCCCCTTCCAGCCCTGCCCCACCAGAGGGGCAATCGCAGCAGAACGATGATTCCCTGAGGCTCAGAAGCGTGCACACTTTGTGTTTTGAATTGAGTTTTATTAGTCAGCCCACTCATTGAGTGCTAGGTGCTGTCTGTGGAATTATAAAGATATATATGATCCTGGCTCTGTCCTTTCAGAGCTTGCGATGCATTTAGGGAAGCCAGGCATGTAGGCATGAAGCGGAAGCTCACTGGACAAGGCAGGGGGAACATCGGCTTCTGAGGATGCAGATGGTGATAAGGATTGCAGTTGTTCAAGGCCGTGGGGGAGGAGAGCTGGACCCACAGCCTGGACTCAGAGATGTGCAGATCCCAGGGGGCAAAGGTGAAGGGGTAGTTTCTAACTAATCTGAAACTTGAGATCCAAAGTGCTTTCTTTAAAAGACCCTCCTTAAATCCTTTTTTTTGCCTCATAAAAAATTCAACTATCAAACGATGTCCTTTCCATATGGTGAAAAAATACATTAAGGGGATAAAGAGGTCAAAACTTGTGCTTTACAATTCCTTGTTGAGCAAGAAAAAGTATTTAAGCTGTTCCCACCCCTTGATGGGGTCCTTCTCTCTTGCTTGCTTTGGCTGATGATGTAAGTGCAAGCAGTAACGGAAGCCCGGTCAGAATAAGCAAACTGATGGAGCGTTGGAGGCGAGGCTTGGAGGAGAATTGTTAGCTATGGAATGCCTGTCTCTCTGGACCTCCCCGTGTACACAGTGAGGAGTCCCAGACTTTCATTGACTTTAAGAACAGCTCTTCTGGGACTCTGAATAGGGGTGCAAAGGGAAATTGTCTTCTCAGGTTGGCGGCTGACGTGGACCATGACAGAAAGAACTGATGGATAAACGCCAGTGAAGGTGCGTAACATGTCCCCCCACACAATCTAAAATGACCTTCACGTGCCCTCCAAAACGTCACTATATTCCTTCAGCCCTTACCTTGCTCTGCCTCCCAGAGTCTGTCTGACACTGGCAGAAACCCCGCCGTTATATTTCTCTCTGCCCTCAGAAACATTTACCAGTTGGGGGAAAAATAAGGCCAGGAAATTGTTGCTATGGGCTCTGTTTTGTGGAAGTTAAAATGCTGGAGCAAGAATCTGATTGCTTGATAGCTCCATCTCCCTCTCTCTCTCCCCACCATCCCTTCTCGCACTCTCCCTCACCCCCCCCCCCCCCACTTGTTCTACTCTCCCCTCCTCCCTCCACTAGACTTCCAGTCCTGCCCCCACACCGGGCCGGAGGAGAGCCTTACAGGTTGTCAATGAAATATGGAATTATTTCCTTTGATGGCTTAGATAATAGTAGGAGCCAAGGCAATGAGTGAGGTCGGCTGAAACCAATGCAGTCCTGCCCGGGACTGGAGAGCCAATCGCAAGAGCAGAGGGCGGGGCGTCGGCGCCAGCAGATAATTGCTAAGTGCCTCGCTAGCACAGTTGGTCGGAGCTGCTGAAAGGTCTGGCCGCAGAGACAGGAACGCGTAATCCTCAGCGTGCTCGGTCCCGACAGCATCCTTCCACGGCTCGGCAGAGCCGCGAGCCTCCGGGCACCAGCCCCTCTGCTCCGCGGAAAAGGTACTACTCCTGCCTGCGTCCCGGGGGGTGCTGCTCTTGCTGTTCCATTCTCAGTGGCTTGCGGTTTAGCATATGTAGAGGGATTGCAGAAAGAAAAGTTTAGGGAACGAAATGTGGCAAAGGTGGGAAATCACCGTCTTTTGTTGGGAGGAAAACGAGCTGACAATTTGGAAAACTTCTGCGCTGTGTGGAACTGGGTTTGTTTACTACTCTGTCAATTAGCTGCGCTAAGGTCTGTGGAAATAGGTCTGGTCTTGGGCTAGGGTGCCTGCAGGGTTGGGGTGTAGATTCAGGTTGTTGGGTGAAAGGAGTTGGACCCCCGGATGTGCTGTTGCCTGGCGGACCCACCGTGGGGAGGCTGATTCTGAGCAGCGGGATTGGTTGGCTGGGATTTCCGCTGTAGAATCTGCCCCCTTTTCATCACCTTAACCTGCCTTCCTCCAACTACTGTGACCTTTAACTTGAGTCCTTCCTCGAACTTCTGTCTCCTTCTCCGAACTCCTACCCCTTGCTCACACTGTCTCAGTCCATTTTATTTGTTGGAAGGAGAAATGTCCTGGGGTGTGGGTGACTGCCCTGCTTGACCTGATGGACATCTGCATGTCACACAACTTGATGAGAAACCAACAAAACAGTTCTCAGAGGAAAAGAACTCAATTGATTAGCTCCCGAAAACTCTGGAAGACTTTCCAGGCTTGGTGCGTACTGAAATAAAGGGGACAGACCTACAGTTTATCCCGTGTGAAGGTTACCCCCCTACCAGAGAAGGGCTGTCCAGCGCTGAGAAGCCAGCAGCTCTGGGAGGTGGAGGCTGGTGGGAGAGGCAGACCCTCAGGGCTGGGTCTGCCCATGCGCTCAGGTGAGTCTGTCACCAGGAGGGTGCTGGAGCCACCAGCCACACTGCTTGTGATGCCTGCTCTTCAAGTAAAAAGCTCGCCACGGCAGGCAGCTGGTTCAGCCTTGTAGCAGCCTTCGGCATTCTCAATTGTGGGACCTCTAGGACCTCACTTGCTCTGAGACCCAAGTTTGGAGCTCAGGAAAACTCTTTTTTGGGAGCTTCTGAGCTTCTGTCCACAGGAGAGGTGGGCCTCCTAGGAAGCAGGTCTCCATCGAGGAGAGGGGATGTGCTTGGTGTTGAACTTCCTTCCTGCTTTCAGGCAGACAGCTCCTAGTTGAGTGCCCCACACTCGAGTGACTTCCAGGTATGTCCTCCGACCTGCTGGACGCTCTGCAGCTGCCAGGCCTGGGACAATCTTCCAAGTCCCTAAGGCTCTGGGGAATTCAGGTGAAATTCCTCATGCTGCTATCTGTCTTAGACCTGAAGCTGAGGAGCTCTCTTCCAGTCCTGGCAAGAAGTGAACGTTCTGGGAGGCATGCTCCAGCGGCACCTAGATCCGCTGACGCCCTCCTGCCGAGGCGCAGGTGACAGCCTCCATTCTCTGGCTCCACAAATCACTTTCACTTTTTAATTCTTATTTTCTCTAACTGCCACAGCAGGTCCTCCTCCTTCTCCTTTAGGCAGCTATTTTGGGTGGGAGCTGTTATTGTTGAAGCTCTACTCACAATGGTTAAAAAAACAGCTGCCTCCTTTTTTTTTTTTGGTCAGGACACAGTCAGCTTTCTCTTCTGCACATGTTGTCTGACAGCAGAGAAAACAAACTTGCAGCCCCCAAATTACCACCTTTGTGTTCAGGAGCCTGGAGTGGACACCGGGTTTTGATTGGCTGCTGAGCATATCAGGCCCCGGACCTCCTCCTCTGTGGTCTGTCTAGAGCGTGTGACCCCCAAGGGAGCCCAGGAGAGGCGGCGCCCAGCAGCTGGGGGCTTTGGAATGAGGGCACCTTGATCTTCACGAAGGCAGTAATAAAACGAGAAAGTGCTCTCGAATTCGAGGGGTGTCTAGAACCAGGAGCAGGTAGCAAAACTGGGGGTCTCTTCAACAGATGTTGAGCTGCTAGATTTCTATCATGATAGAGGACATTAAAAGTAAGGCTTTTAAAGAGGCTCCTGAATGGTGACTCATGCAGAGAGAGGGAAGTGGCAGGGCGGGGGAGGGGCGAGGGAAGCTGGAAAGTACAAGTGGGACACAGCGGAGCTCTTGCCTCTCCTCCCGCTCCCTCCTCCTCGTTCCTCTTCCTTGTAGTTCCCCATTTGGAACAGAGATCATTAAAATAACAACTTGAGACTAAAAAAAGCATAATAGGAGCTGAAGAATAACTGATGAAATGCAAAACACCATCATTGTGACTTCACCTTCGATGGGGCATGACACCCAGGATCCAGCCCCCCGCTGTGGCTGTGATGTGATCCAGTTAGGATCATTTAATTGCTGGTGTTAGGCTGATTGGTTCCTTGAGAAGCCCGGTGCCTGTTTGTGTATAGAGGGACTGATCGGTTCTCAGGAAATCAAATTTGTTGCTTGTCATTTCATCAAACACAGTAGCTTTAGCCAGGACCCTCGATAGGCACCATCCATGGATCTGGCATTTTCTCCTCTTCCCAGTTGGCCAACTAGGATCTCTCTCTTTCAACCACTGCGCTGTGAGGGGGTTGCCTCTTTCTGCTTTCACGAGCCGGGGTGATTTCCCTGGCAGGTGACAGGCCTTCCTTACTTACCTGTACCCCTTCCTGTTGTCCTTCCCATCATAAACACATCAGGAAATAATCTCTGCCAATCTGCATTGATTTTGTCATTTTGTGCAGATTTTGCTGTTAAAGAAAACTGTCCCCAGAAATAGGCTTGAAAGCCTATTAACATTTTTATCAGAGAAGAGCCTTTTAGTCTTCTATTTTAAAATTTAATTGTGATTTTGGGGAAATCAAATAAGCACGTTTATTGTGTTAGGTGTTGCTGTTGAAATGTCTTCTTTTTCTTTGGTGGATGTGTGACCTCCCCGGTTATCCTGGGGGGAGCATGTGTGTGTGTGTCTGGAGGTCTGAAATGGTCTGGAGCATCCCCTGAAAGGTGAAGAGGTTGGAGCACGATGCTTCTGTTTGTTCAAGACGGGGTGAAGCTGTTTTGAAATCTAAGCTCTGCAATGTATTCAGCACGCTCTTTCCCCGCTTCCTTCTTCATTTAGGGAAGGTCGCAGCCGAAATTATTAGTGAGTACTTCACCTGACTCACTTTTCCTTACACTCACACGCCCCCTCTTCCCTCCCCGTTAGGGAGATATTTCACATCGAAGCAGGTCCCTGAATCTGATATGTGCCTCACTTTCTTTCTTCCCTTCTGGTTCTTTCTTCCTGTCACTTAAGGGCACTCTAGAGGTTGAGATTTAATTGAGGACACCCTACTCACCTCACATCTGAGACAGTTAACCGGGGGCCAGTCAGGAATCCTGGGAAGCACAAGGAGTTGGCGTTTGGGGGCAATGAGGTCATCCTCACGCCAGGTTCCGTGTTGCGCAGACCTCACGAGGGTACCTGGGTGGTGCAGCCGCCCTGCGTGAGGCAGGCAGGCAGATGCGTCTGAGCACGAGCCTCTTAGAAGCACAGGGGTTCCCACCAGGCGCAGCCCTCACCATTCTGCCGTCCTGAGGCACATCCACCCTCAGCCTCCACACACAAGACTGACCTCGGAAACCTTAGCGAGCAGTGAAATTTGTCCGTCATTATCCCAGTTTCTTTGTTCTTTGTTTTCTTCTCACCCCTAAATCTCTCTAGCAAGAGTTGGAAAGGACTAAATCCACTTTAGGTGGGAACAGTTGAGAGTGTCACCATTACAGAGGTCTCTGAGTTCTTCATGGAAACCAAAGCTGTTCCTGGCAGAGTTTCAGATATCTGCTAGTGGGATTGGAAGGGTCGAGATCGAGTTTGCATAGGGAATGTCTTCGCAATTGTGGCTCTTTGCTTTTTTGTTAAGGCTGGTCCTGCTCTTACCCAGGTCGAGGACATGCTGCAGCCACTCAGGGCGTTGTGCTGGCGATATTTGGGGTCTAGCACTGGAGCGTGGTCCCTCTGACCTCGTGCGCTGCATTTACTTGCCCTTTCTGACTTCCAGTTCCCTGGTCGTAAAGCCAGGCGGTTGGACTATGTTCTCATTGATCCCTTTTTGCTCTGACCTTCTCTCTGGATTTTGCTGCCGGAGTCCAAGATCCGGCAGGGGTGATACAGCTCAGAAGGCTGCGGAGCTTGCAGAGCACCCTCCAGTGCGGCCACAGGGCTCAGTGATGCTTTCAGGGCTGGAATCCATGAAGGCAGGTCGGAAGGAATGGTGGATGTTACACCAGAAGAAAAACAGGCTGAGGGGTGATGTAATAACTGATTTTGGTTTAGGAGGGGATGTTATATGGAGGATTGCGACCAGCTGTTCTCCGTCTCCAGTAAGGATTGAACGAGAGAAAATAGACAGAAATTGCAGCAGATGGACTTAGATTAGGTATGAGGAAGAATTTTCCATCAGCAAGAGTTGTTAAAAAGGGAAGGTTGTGGAGCCCCTGTGATGATCTTTAGGAAATGGATAGGCAGGAGATTCAGCTGGAGGAGGAGGCAGAGAGCTGTGAGATGGCGAAAGGCAGGGGCTGCCTAGTCTTGGGATCCTGGCCCTTTCCTGGTGAGGGTCCTTTTTTATTCCTCTGAAACCTCACCTTTGCTCTGAGGCTATCAAAGTGGCTGAGAATTAAAGTCCTTGGGACGAGTGGGAAAGGAGTGCAGCCAAGCCCCCTGCCCTCCTGGGCTCTGTCTTGACTGGCAGGTCCCGTCTTCTGCTTGAGGATCTCTCATCATGTCTACTCCTTCCTTTCCAGACAAGGCAAATGAGGCCCAGAGAGGTAACAGGCCTTGGTGTCGTCACACAGTGACCTGATGGCAGAGCAGGGACCAGAATCCAGGTCCTCCGTCTTGAAAGTCAGTGTTGTTTTCTTTGTGGCTCGTTTTTTTCCTTATTTACAAATTGAATAGACTGTTGGTTTTTCTGGGCTCCTAATTTCTCTCTAACCAAATGGCAGAGACAGAGACACCTGCAGTTAAGCAGTGTTTATTGAGTGATGGTTACTAACG